GCTCCCCTACTCTGGCCAGAATCCCACACCTTGAGCATAACCACCAAGGAGACTAAGAGAAGCAAGAAAATCAGCCCAAAGATGAATATCACTTCATTATCCCCAGCCTACTCCTAGCATGACTAAGCCATTTACAGGAGGTAACAGAGGAACCACACCAGCAGAGCTCTTCCTCTCAGCATCAAGCTATGGTGACCTTTTCTACTGACAAAACTAAAGCAGGGCAGAGAATTTCAGAGAAGGACTTAAAAGACTATCCAATGTTACAGCTCTCAATCCCACAAATACCAGAATGAAACATAAGTAGAAAATGCCCACCAGGCCAGGCGTGGTGGCACATGCCTGTAATCCCAGTACTTGGGAGGCTGAGACAGGAGGATCCTTATGAGTTTGAGATCAGCCTGGGCTACAAAGTGAGCTCAAGGCCACCCTGAAATGCATAGCAAGACCCTGTCTCAAAAAGACCAAAAAAAAAAAAAAAGAAAGAAAGAAAATAAGGATCATAAATCACCAATAAATAAGGATAAAATCTAATCACAAATATAGCACCTAACCATCACTGTCTTGGACTGGTGATGTAGCTAAGCAATAGAGTGCTTGCCAAGCATATGCAAGGATCTGGGTTCCATCTCCAACAACAAGGGGGGGTTGGGCACGGATTCAGGCACAGACCAGAGCTCCCACAAAGACCAGCTTTCACCACTCACACTGTAGCTATCACACCCCCCACCCTGTCCCACTAACTTCCCCATTCAGGATTTCCCTGCTCCCATCCTCTCCTCACACTTCCAATTAATTTCAATAACGAGCAAGGTTGGCATCACAATACAGAACTTTGGCCTAAGGATTTCAGGTAAAGCAGTTTTGGAAAAAATTTCCACTCATTCTTTTCATGTCCTTCAATTAACTAAAATTCACTGGACAGAATTTGGAGTTTATGGAACCAATACAGTATGGTGCCAAATGGTCACTTTAGGAACAACCACAACCTCAAGACTCATAATTTTAGCTCATAAAGGAACTATAACTGAAAATTTTTTCTTTTAATTTGTAAAGCTCTGATTGCCCCAGTTTAAAAAGGTTTTTTGTTGTTGTTGTCATTGTTGTTGTTGTTGTTTTTGGGTTTTTTTTTTTTGAGACAGGGTCTCACTATGTAGTTCAAGATGACCCTGAACTCATTACGCAGCCCAGGCTGGCCTCAAACTCACCTTGATCCTCCAGCCTAAGCCTCCTGAGTGCTAGAACTGGGACTACAGGTGTGTACCACCATGTCTGGCCTTAAAAGCCATTTTTTTTTTTTTTTTTTTTTTTTTTCTCTGGTA